TGGGACCACAGGCGCCTACCACAATGCCCGGCTATGTTTTTTGGTTGCAGCCGTCATTGTTTTTTGGCGGGCCGGTCTGGATTCGAACCCACCAGCTCAGGTGTATGTGGCTGGCGCCTTAGCCGCTTGAGCCACAGACACCGAGCCCGGAAATCCTGTTTCTTCTGTCATGCATTACTGTCCTCTGTTGTTCCCTCTTGCCACTTCTCCAGTCCTCTCACTTTCTTTTTTTTTCTCGAAGAAAGTCAAAAAGCTGTGGAGTTGAGTGGAGAAAGAGAAGCAGGAAGCTGTCCAGGTACGCTGCTATGCTAGGTCGTATTTTCTTCAGACGGGGGGAAAACCAAAGGCTGGAATCTGATAACGTAAGAGCTGGAAGGCGCCATAGAGGCCATCCTCCTTTCTGTCCATTAATAGCTGAGGACTGAGCCTTACTGACTTAACCCAGGCCACAAAGCCAATTAGGGGCATGGGTCAGACTAGAACTCAGGCATCTTGACTTCCCGGAGGGTTAGAATGAAGTGCCTACAATTCTTTTTGCTGGGTGGGGTGGGGTAGCCAGATGTGAAAACACCCCTCCTGTCTTCAGTAGCTATTATCTTCTTGGCTATCAGGCAGTCCTTTATTTCTGGTCCTCCAAAGAAAAGGATTTACCGAATCACTCCTTATTTTCTTTTCCTTAGGGAAAACTGCACCGTGCCCATCTTTTCATGTCGTCTTGGTCATTTTCGTTATTCTCTCTATAAAAAACAAATTATAATTTCTTCACATCTCTTTGAAAATGTGGCAACCCAAACCAAACCTACAGCTTTAAAGATTTGTGTGGCCAGGTAAAGTCAAGTTCTTGAGTTCTGTTTTCAATGCCTCCTACTTTGACTTTTGTTTTTGCTCATTTGTTACTGAATTTGCAGGACAAAACATTGCTTATTTTTCCTGTGTCAGTAATGACCTTGAGGAATTTATATCAGTGGTTTATGTCTGAAGGAACGCTCTCTGGAATGTGTTCATGCGAAGGCTTGCTGCTTCTTTTATCTCCTGTCAGCTTGTCAATAATGGCCAGGTGGCAAATACATGTCAAGAAAACTAATCACCTTCTAACAGGATTTGGCCTAGAATTAAAGCAGATTTCGTGCCCTTCCTGTTCCAGCTTTAGCAACCCAAGGTCCATGACTGCTCAGAGACTGGCTGGTTGCACCCCAGGATATCTCAGGCTTTCTAACCCTAGGTAGTAAATTTTGTGAGGCTCAATACCGAGTTTCTCGGAGGCAGAGCTTCGGCTTGAGATTGTCAGCCCACCCACCCTGGACGCCCAGTAAAGTAAACTATCTCCTGTTTTCAAGGTGATGACACTGGGCTGGAATGCCGTGAAGCCAAGGAGCTGGTCCTGCCAGACAAGTTTCTGCTTCTGGACGACTCTGAACCTTGACA